GTGTCATGGGAGGAAAAATGGCTGCGTATCCTGCTCGTACCCTGAGGCGAAGTTCGCAAACCGAGGTAAATTTTTGCAGCCGGAGCTGGTCGTAACCCAAAAAGTTTGTTAACAGGGGTATTCGTAACCCGAGGTACCACTGTATATGGCACTGTCCTTCCAGGTATTTAGGAAGTTGGTAAAATTAAGTTGTTTAAAAAAGCATTTAATATTTACTTACATCATATTGTTTAGGACATGCCTATGATATGGTCATTATGACACAGTTACATAATTTGTGTGTTTTATTATGTGTTGTATATCTTATAAAAGTACCGTAGTAAAGAGAAATTTCGAAACCATAATGTTGAGCCAGCTTTTTTTTTTAAAAAAAACTTATTTATTTGTTTGTTTGTTTAAATTTATTGGCCACCCATCTCCAGTGGACTCTGGGCGGCACACAAAACTAAAAGTGACATAAAAACAAGTAAAAATATTAAATCCACAGACAGCCCAGACTTACATGCTCTAGTAACAAAATCCACAAAACAAAACAAGGGCCATTAAACAAATAACAAACATCAACCCCAGGTCTGGGACCAAAGCCAGGTTTTCAAAGCTTTCCGGAACCCTAGGAGAGAGGGTGCAGTCCTTATCTCTGGGGGGATGCTGTTCCAGGGGGTGGGGGCTATGACAGTGAAGGCACCCTTCCTTGGTCCCACAAGGTGGCAATGTTTAATGAAGCAGGCCTGGAGCACACCCACTTTGCTGTAATGTACAGGGGGCCAGAAACGATTGAAAACAAGTGTTCTCTCAGAAATGCAGGCCCATGCCATAAAGGGCTTTATGATGTTAATACATTTCTATAATTGTATGGGTGACAAAATTTAGGAAATAAGCATCTCCAAAAACCAAGTAGAATTTCATGAGGGGTTAGTATTAAAGTATATCTGTATAAAATTCTTTTCAAAAGACATATAATTTTATTTGAATAGAGTAGCTATATACAGTTCTTATTCTGAGAGGTAGAATTAGCATTTTGTTTTACTAATTCCTATGTCTGCAGAAGCAAGTTTCCTACCGTTGGTATCCTTGAGCATAATTACATTAAAAACAAAGGTCAACAATAATAAAGTCTCTGGGAAAATCTAGTAGATGTGACTCTTACTTTCTAAGAAATACTTTGACAATTGTTAAACTTTTGGGGGGATGTAATGACTGCTTGTTGCATAATTGTTGCATAACTTGTCTTATTTGTCACACAATGTTTATTGGCTTTTAGTAAACAGTACATTTCTAAGAAATACAATTCTGTGAATATTATTGTATCCCACGTGTATGCTGCTGTTTTATATGAATTCTTGCACTAGAGGCTGTGAAAATATTGTTTGTCTCCAGCCTGATAGAAATACACTTTCTTCAATGCATACTCTGAATTTAAATCTAAATCAGGGTAGGCAATCTGCCCTCCCCAACAGATGCTTTGAGCTACAGTTCCCTCAAGCCCTGATAATGGAGGACGAGGGGAGACTAATCTTAAACCTCTGGAGGATGCAAAATTGCCTATTCCAAATCAAGAATTTTAATTTTACAGAATTTTTAGGAGATACACCTTGACAAACAATTCACAGAGGGATAGCTAAGCTAGTTTGTAGCAGCAAAAAAGAATAGCCATATGACACTTTGAAAAGTAAAATTAAACTAAAATAGTTTAGTTGTGAGGACTAATTGGCCTTGGAATCCATCAGACTAGAATGGGCTCTGTAGGGTTTTAAACTGGTCTTGTTTAGACATTACTAGGCATGTCCAGGTATATTGGAGGAAGTGACTTTAGCTGCCAAGAATGTACTCCAACTCAAGTCATGGGGAAAGGACAAGTGACGTTGCCCTTCTTTGTCTCCTTTCCTCCTCTTCCTCTTTCTCCCTGGGTTGCTGAACAATTAAAATTTGAGGCCATCAAATAAGGACACTGACAGCAGGTTTCAATATGTAACCAAACTTGGCTGGTCATGACTGGGCCTGGATTTGAATGGGAGACAATCAGGAAATCTCAGCCCTGTGGACTAGACAGTGACATCAAGCATCCTGGAAAAAGGTAGGCTTAAGGAGCTTGCATGTTGGCGCCAAGAAAAAAAATGTCATCAGATTGAACCTGACTCATGGAAAACTTTGCTTTTAATAATCATTTGCTAATCACAGCAGCTCTGCAACTTGTGAGCTAGAAAAACGTAACTGTTAATGTGTTGGATTAGACTTTAGGAAACCTAGGTTCAAGCTAAGAAGCTCACTGGATGATTTTGGCACGTCATTCTTTCTCTGGTCAGCCATCCTTACATAGTTCTTTGGGAACTAATTGAATGGAAGTGCTTGGCAAGTTGCCTTGAGCTCCTCCAGAAAAGTTGAGATATAAATCTAGTAAATGAATAAAAATAAAAGTCATTCCTTGCAAAAAATGTCCTGTTAATCCATAGCATGATTCAAGTAGGTCACATTTCTCAGTAAATATTTGTGATCACAATACAGGGAAGGATTTATATGAGGCTTTGATTGTGGGTTTTAATGATTAGGCCGTTTGTGCTGATAGAAATAATGTGAACTTGGATTAATTAGTAGTAGGAGATTAATTTTTTTTCATTTGTATTTATACTGTATCTGTATTGGAGATAGTCGGAAGTCATTTTCTGTTTCAATTTTCTGTCTGTCTTCACTATTATAGTTTGTCTTTTTTCTTTTAATTCTCTCTTCTCTCTTTACTGTACTTTCTATTTTGTATTTTAATTGTACTTTGAAATACAGTATAATAAAGTTCTTATTAAAACAAAATACAGGGAAGTATTTATAAGCATTTTTCATTCCTTTTTGTTACCTTGTTTGATGAATAAATCCAGCATGCAGTACAACAGATTGTATTGTCTCATTTCAGGATATAAGTGGGCTAACCAGTGAAATTTGAACACTACCTCGGCAGTCTTTCAATGTTTTATCCAAGTGAAAGTGTGGACAACAATGAAGTTATACAAAACTTGTTTATATAAATTCCTCTGCCTTTTAAAGAAGATCTGCCTAAAAATGTGCATCTGTCTGCGCTTGGCTTGTTTGGTGTTCCTAAAACCAGTGACCTTTCATTGTGTCTTTTTGGGTGGTGAATTTGGGAAGGAATTTCCACCACCCTCTATGATTCAGTATTAATTTCTGTGTTGTCAGTGTGAACTTTCTGTGTAATTGACAACAGTTTGTCCAACATGCTTGAATGAGCAGATGTATTTTTGAAGCTATTGTCCAGAGAATTGTAATCCATGGTAAACTAGAGAAATTCCAGGAAGTCCATAAAACCCCTCATGTTTGTGAAATAAGAGTATACAGAGATTTAGAATACAGTTGACAGTTTATGTATTAGGCAAAAGTGCTTGACAACACAGAATGTTTTTGTGGAAGAGCAATAAGAGCACTGTGACCGTCCAACTGGATGAAATAGGGCATTTCATGGATGAAATACTTCATGCCATACTCAGTAGATTCAGCATAGTACCTTACCTTCTTTCAAGCTTGCAAGATAGAATTATTAGATTTTGACTTGTCTCAGTTCTGACGCCAAATTGTGACTTGATATTACTACAAGCAGTCTTTCATATTCCGATTGTGAAAGTGCAATGTTTTTCAATTCAAATGTTATAAAAAATGGTTACCGGGTATCAAATGTTGTTGAAAATCAGGAAGTTAGTTAACTATTCATATTATATGATATAAGGCAGACACTTGGTTCTGTGAACATAAAAGGGAGATGAAAGAATGTGTGCGGTAATATTTTGCTTGCTGTTTTCATTTGCAAAATCCCCTTGCAAATGATGATCTGTTAGAGACAGCTACGTGCACTGTACTCTTTTCTATAATAAATTCTGTCTGAGTACCAAGAATAATTTTTAAAACACATGGATTTTTTTGTAGCAAATGCCAATTCATTTAGTATTGACATAAATGTTTCTTTCTTTTAGATGTCAAGGAGATGAAAACAGTACAAGGTGTAGTAACAAGATTTTGTCTGGACTATGGGATGATCAATGATTTAATTTGCTTCACCAACGATGCTGTGATGAGTGCTGTGCCGCTGCAAGTTGGACAGAGAGTAATAGCTCACGTTGAAGAGGATAAAATATCTCATGGATTAAGAGCAATTAGGGTGAGGTTCAAACAACTGGAGATGCTTCTTGAGCTTTAATTGTTTACCACAGTGGTTCTCAAACTGGACTGTGGACCCCTGGAGGGGGCCAGAGAGTTATTGCAAGGGGTCTGTGAAATGGATCAAACATAGAAAACAGGCAAGCGCAAAGTTCAGTCACACAGCTCTTCCTCTTGCACAGATGTGGACTGAAAGGTACTTCACTGCCAGTAATGAGGTGGAAGGGAGGGATGGAAAACCCCAAAAGGGGGAGACTATCTCAAGTTCCAGTTGGAAATTACTTATTGTGTAAAATACCAATGCATTTCAGACAGTTTCTCTTTGAGAGTACCAAGGTATTGGGTTTTACAAACTAAATTCCCTACTGGCACTGTCGGTGAGATGAGCCAATTTAGGCTATTTTTCCTTCATTCTGCCAGTCCCAGTATTTCTCTCCTCCTACTGTAAAGAGGGTGGGCACAGCTTTTTCCATATCTCTCCTTCATGCTGCCTATGATTCCTATAAGCTGCCCATAAATGTTGTTGACCCATAACTAGCACTGTTGCTGTATATTCATACCTACTATACCCAGAGCTACCCAGTTGTTTCACCAGAATTCCCAGTCTACCCTACTTGCTTCAGTGCCTGCTTACATTTTTGAGCCCTCTGAGCCTCAACCTCAAGGGCCATACCCACAGCTGGTCTCAGCCTCCTGCCATAGTAGCAGAGCTGAGAAGCAGCAGGGACCCCCCACAAGCCTCAGCATAACTCATCTCACGTAGGCTGCCAGCGTTCCTGCAGTTAGGCTCTTTCAGCTGCTTGGTGGCTGCCATTACAGACAAGCACAGGGACTTAGATTCATGGAGGACTCAAAGGATCACCAGCCTGCCACCATCTCTTATATTTACTAGCAGCAAAATTGAGAGGATGCAGTTATTTCTCTAAGCATGCACCAAGAGATTGCTCATGGGAACAAGAAAATAAGTGCATGGGGAGGAGGGTTGTCTGTTGAGATGTTGCTATCATTTGGGACTACTTCAGCAGCTTGCCAGAGGGCTTCCTCCTTTGAAGAGGAAAATCATAACCACCTGCAGACTGGAAGAATGCTTACATAATACTAATTTTCAGTTGGATGTGAATCTTGTGATTAATAAAATGCAACATCCTTTAAAACTGCTACTGATAACTACTGAATTCACAATAGCATTTTGTTGTTGTGTTTTACTTCATTTAACAAATACTTGACCTGCAACACTATCATGTACAGGTCTGCAAAAAAAAAGGTGTTAAAATGGGTCTTCTTAAATAAAAAGTTTGGGAACCACTGGTTTACAAAATAGACCTTTTCATGACACCCAGTTGGTCAGATTGAGAAGATCTACTGAGCATCCTACCAAGGGGAAATATAAAGAAGTTTGGGAATACATAGATCTATCTCCTACCACCTAAAAATGGAAACATAATACCTGATCTAGTCTGTATGTGATGTTGAATATGATTTTGTCCTGATCCTGTTACAGAGAATAATCTAATAGAAGAGAATATATGTAGCTCAGGGTTGAACTGTGGAGTCCTTGGGGTTCTCTGAGCTTGGTTGTTTTCTTGCAAACATTTCATTACCTGGCTAGGTAACATCTTCAGTGCTCCTGAACATGTTACCAAGCCAGGTAATGAAAT